ATGGAAACTACTTTTGTTAAATATGAGATTTTCCTCTTAAGCTTTGAAATCAATCCTATGGAACATGTAGCTCTCGAGAGGGTCGATTCAGTGGGAAACTTAGGTGTTATATTTCAAAGCATTGAGAGCTGGACATTCCAGCTTCAGCATCGGATGTTCTACTACATGTCCCAGAGTTTCTCCATCCCGGAGACAGTCCTGCCAGAAATATTATAAAGAATGGTCATCCTTTGTCTTTATAAACATTAGCAAGTTGTTTGACATCACCACCATTGGAGCTAGCAGGTATCTGTGCCACCGTGCAGCTGATACACCATCAGTATTTGAATAGAAGCACTTAACCTTCAAAAGGCTAGATGCACTCACATTCTGACAAATATGATATCATTGGGCACGTCAGCAGCAGAATGCTGCAACATCTAATGATTATTATGTTCCACATCAGTGTAAGTTGATATACAGTGTCTATGAGCATTATGATTGTGCCTTACCAGTTTGGAAGGCTGTTTACTGTGTAAAGTATTTGTAGAAGTACATTGAGATGCTGGCTGTGTGTCAACCTCCTAGTCAATATTACAGACATATCTCACACTGGCTGGAAGAAAAGCTTATGGGTAGGAAAAGGCCTCTTTCTCTCTTCTAGTCCTATATATTTTTCTGGCTATGTGTACACAAATGATTTTGCATTTCAACGTGTTGTATTGATCTTTATGCTTCAATGCCGAATAACAATTGTAGGTAATGTATGACAAAAACAAAGAATTAATATAATGCTTACCAATTATTTCTTGTTACCATATCTGTATGTTGTATATAATGGTAATTAATACCTGGGAAAGGATGATGATGATTCTTGTAAGGTTGTATAGAGGATATTTTATCATTCAAGTTGACGTTCATTCAATAAACGTTAAAAAAAGTAGAATGATAAGTGATGTTAAATTTTTTTGCATCATTTTGTTTTCCAAAAAGTGATATTTCCATTTATCACCAAAATTACTATTCATATTATTTGGCGATAATAATTTATGCTTTAGAAATGAAAATTTCAACAGTACTGTGTTACTCAGAAATTTTTCACGTGTTCCCCTTAGCTCTACAATCATCAAAGTTGGTGTAAAGTACAGTTGATGGATCTCATACAAAAAGAATGTTTAAACAGTGGTCCCAGCCATAAATCAAATGTAAAATAAATACTTATGGACTGTTAGAAAAAATAAAGTTTCTTTTAGGAATTGTAGATATTTTGTCAAGTTAAACTAAACAATATTACATTAAGCCAAGTCACACAGAACTGCTCTGCCTCACTTAATGAAACAAGTTAACTCTCTCTACCTTGCACTTTCAAACATCACTGGTATAGATTTATATTTGGTTTATAACCTGCCACATGTTCTTACTTTAAAATAAAATGTTCTGTTGAAAGAATTGACATGATAGCAGCATAATTCAGTCTTCTAAATCAGTTATTATTTTAGGTTCATAAGAACCCCTGTTAAAGATTATTTTTATAGGGATTGTTGTTTATGCTATCAGTGCGTAACAAAAACTATTTAGTATTAAATGTAATTTTGTTATTTTCCACATATTATTTTTTTAAAGTATTGTAAAAAGGGTTAAGGAAGCTATTCAATTAATACATGTTACATTGATTATTTGTTATATTTTTGGAATCTATCTTTTATTTGTAGATCCTAAACAAAAGTTGTGAAAAAAAAAGTACTATGAATGTATCATTTAACAAACAAATCTCTCTCTTTACAGAAACAAAAAGTTATCAATCCCTGAGAACAACTGATGGTGATGTGTTTGGTATAACATTATCAAGGGAAAATCACCAAGAAAGGCATAAAATTCCTCATAGTGGAGATAAACTGTACAAATGTGTTACGTGTTGCATGGAATTCGAAACAAATAGTGAGCTAAAAAAGCATAACAAAATACATGGGCAGAAATCGTACAACTGCTTAGTGTGTGGCAAAAACTTTCCAAAAAAGAGTCAATTAAAACAACATGGGATGATACACACTGGTGAGAATTCTTTCAAATGTGAAATTTGTGGAAAGACATTCGTGACAAATCGTAGCTTACAACAACATAACATCGTACACACCAGGGAAATATTATACAGCTGTGAAGTGTGTGGTACAAAATGTTCAACAAATAGGGAATTAAAAGTGCATCATAAAATACACATTGATGGGAAATACAATTGTACGAGGTGTGGAAAACAGTTTGGTAGTTATGTTGCTGTAAAAAAACATGAAAAAATACACACACTGGTGAAAGGTAACACTTGTTTAGTATGTGGCAAAAAATTTGTAAGAAGTAGTGAACTAAAAATACATGAGAGGACACACACTGGGGAGAAACCTTACAGTTGTGTAGTATGTGGGAAAACATTTGTGTGTACAAGTACTCTTTACATGCATCAACGGATACACACTGGTGAGAAACCACATGGCTGTGAATTGTGTGGTAAACAGTTTGTAAGTAAAAGTAGTCTTAATTTGCATCAGAGGATACACACTGGAGAAAAACCGTACAGTTGTGAAGTGTGTGGCAAAACATTTGTTAGTAGTAGTAGTCTTAAAACACATCAGAGGATACACACTGGAGAGAAACCATACAGTTGTGTAGTGTGTGGCAAAAAATTTACTTGTAAAAGTAGTCTTAATTTGCATCAGAGGATACACACTGGAGAGAAACCATATAATTGTGTTGTGTGTGACAAAAAATTTATGTGTTTAAGTAGTTTTTATATGCACAAAAGGATACACACTGGAGAGAAACCATACAATTGTCAAGTGTGTGGCAAAACATATGTAAGTAGTAGCAGTCTTACTATGCATCAGAGGATTCACACTGGAGAGAAACCCCACAGTTGTGAATTGTGTAGCAAAAAATTTGCAAGTAAAAGTAGTCTCAACTTGCATCATAGGATACACACTGGAGAGAAACCTTACAAATGTGAAGTATGTGGCAAAACATTCACATGTAAAAGTAGTCTTAATATTCATCATAGGATACATACTGGAGAGAAACCATTCAGTTGTGATGTGTGTGGCAAAACATTTGTTTATAGTAGTAGTCTTAAAACACATCAGAGGATACACACGGGAGAGAAACCATACAGCTGTGTAGTTTGTGACAAAACATTTATTCGTAAGAATAGTCTTAATCTGCATCAAAGGATACACACTGGAGAGAAACCGTACTGCTGTGTAGTTTGTGACAAGAAATTTGTGTGTATAAGTAGTCTTTATATGCATAAAAGGACACACACTGGAGAGAAACCATACAATTGTCAAGTGTGTAGCAAAAAATTTGTAAGTAGTAGTAGTCTTAATGTGCATCAGAGGATACACACTGGAGAGAGACCATGCAGTTGTGCAGTGTGTGGCAAAAAGTTTGTAAGTAAAAGTATTCTTAACATACATCAGAGGATACACACTGGAGAAAAACCATACACTTGTGAAGTATGTGGTAATACATTCGTTAGTAGTTGTAGCCTTAAAACACATCAGAGGATACACACTGGAGAGAAACCGTACAGTTGTGTAGTGTGTGACAAAACATTTATATGTAAAAGTAGTCTTAATGTGCATAAGAGGATACACACTGAAGAGAAACCATACTGCTGTGTAGTTTGTGACAAGAAATTTGTGTGTATAAGTAGTCTTAATGTGCATCAGAGGATACACACTGAAGAGAAACCATACAATTGTGATGTGTGTGGCAAGAAATGTGAAAGTAAGTGTAATCTTAAAATGCATCAAAAGATACACACTGAGAGTAAGCTTATAATTTAGAGATGTGTGTCAGAAATGTTTAAGAGATTGTGAGCTCAAAATAAATACCATATTTCACCCTTTAAGTGGCCCCACTCCTAATTTGTTCAGACTTCCAAAATACACCTTGTAAAACAAGTGAGGAGTATCCAGAATGGGGAATATTAAAACTATGACTAGAACTAAACCGTGTCAACGATTAAGACTTCTGATAATCAGTTAATTTACGTTAAATACATATAATTATGTATATTGGTCATACACACTTTTACCCGAGTTCTCACTTTGAAGTAAATCACAGAGTTTAAAGCTATACGTGTTGTTCGTAACTCATAACTGTTGGAAGGTTTCTATTAGCACAGTATAGCAATTTCATACAGTGAATTATTAGGAGCTGTAAGACTGTAAAGTCATTTCTACCAAGTGTTAATTTATTCATTAGCTTTCTATAGAATACCCTGAATCTAGGGATACGTACACACGAATGATTGTGAACACCTTCTGCTACTACTTGTATTCTACAAATGATTACTATGAATTTCAGTAAATATAACTTTCAGGGGAGTGTGTAAGTTGTTTTAGCCTTTCTCTATGTGTGTGTGATTATTGGATTAATTTATGAATTTAAGTTAAAAATTTACCAATATTTATTGCAAAAGGTTATCTTAATATCTTTGACTGTAATGTATTATAACTATTTATTGAAAGTTTACAACTAAAATCTTGTTAGTATCAAACAATGAACATGTAATGATAAACTCAAATAATTACCTCAATGAACTACTAATTACCTTGATAGAGTAAGTTTAAAAAGGGTATTACCTCTGAAAGCACTCTCAGGATTAAATTTTCTGTTTAATTTTTTTTCATGAACATATGCTGTCTGTATTCTGCTACCTGATTTTATACCTGAATAATTGATGTAAGTTTGTAATTTATCTCGGATATTATACTACTTTATATAGAGTTGTCAGAGAAATTTAATTGACTTTCATTGATTACTATATGCTGTTAGAGAGGATTGTATAAAGTGTTGTGATGTTAAGTTTACGATAGTAACAAACCATTAGTGTTTGCATTCCGTAAGGTATACTCTATTCTTTGCTACTTTCAGTAACGGTATTGGTTAAATGGTCATTATATGTTTTTATTATTTTTACTTCCTATTATTATATTTTTACCATATAAAATATTTTGCATTTTTAACTTAATATATAGATTAAAGACTGAAAGTTCGAAGAAAATTAAACCTTATAGTAAATTACTAAGATTATAGCCAAACATATTTCTATCATAGAGGCTATTTTCAAAGAAATTTAAACCTTATAGTAAATTATTGAGATTATAGCCAAACATATTTCTATCATAGAGGCTATGTTCAAAGAAATTTAAACCTTATGGTAAATTATTGAGATTATAGCCAAACATATTTCTATCATAGAGGCTATGTTCAAAGAAATTTAAACCTTATGGTAAATTATTGAGATTATAGCCAAACATATTTCTATCATAGAGGCTATGTTCAAAGAAATTTAAACCTTGATGGTAAATAACTGAGATTATAGCCAAACATATTTCTATCATAGAGGCTATGTTCAAAGAAATTTAAACCTTATAGTAAATTACTGAGATTATAGCCAAACATATTTCTATCATAGAGGCTATGTTCAAAGAATTTAAACCTGATGGTAAATTATTGAGATTATAGCCAAACATATTTCTATCATAGAGGCTATGTTCAAAGAAATTTAAACCTTGTGGTAAATTATTGAGATTATAGCCAAACATATTTCTATCATAGAGGCTATTTTCCAAGAAATTTAAACCTTATAGTAAATTATTGAGATTATAGCCAAACATATTTCTATCATAGAGGCTATGTTTAAATAAATTTAAACTTTATGGTAAATTATTGAGATTATAGCCAAACATATTTCTATCATAGAGGCTATGTTCAAAGAAATTTAAACCTTATGGTAAATTATTGAGATTATAGCCAAACATATTTCTATCATAGAGGCTATCCAACTGATGAAAAAATGCATTCTAATATTTGTAAATGTGTATGTAAAAACAGTAGTTCTGATTTATGTTTGTAACTTGCTTTGAGATGAATTAAATATTAATACAGGATTTCTTGACTACGCTATCAACATTTAAAAGAATATTATTATTATCTGTTGACAAGTCAATTGAATTTTTGAACAAAATGTTTGTTTTTTTTACTTTTTAATGAATATAAATCAAATCATGCCATCTTGTAAATTTAATCACTGACTTCTACTTTATTCTTAAAATTTGAAGTTTATAAATCACCACTTTCAGTTCTCTTGAAATATCACTGATGTTGGTGTGTTGTCTGTAGTTTCATGTATTGCTACTGATGGAACCACTTTCGTTTTATCATCAAACATCACTGATATTGGTGTGTTTCCTTTAGCTTTATGTACCACTGTTTATGGAACCACTGTCAGTTCTCTCCTGATGTTGATGTGTTGCCTATAGTTCCCTGTACCACTGTTTGTGAAACCACTTTCAGTTCTCTCTTGAAATATCACTGATGTTGGTGTGTTACCTGTATCAGTGTTTGTGGAATAACTTTTAGTGGTTTATTCCCTCCATTTTGTGTAACTAGCTGTCTAACCAGTCCTTTTAGTTCTTCACAGTTTGAGTTGATAGTTCAGTATTATTCAGTCTGACAATTCCATGATTTTGAGATGGTGTCTTTAATTATTTATCTTTGACCTTAGCGTATTCAGTTTCCATCACTAGCTGCAAAACTTCCTTTAAAGATTTACACCTACTTTGTTTAAATCTGATTCTCATATTGTATTCTACTATGGCATCTATAAATTGGTCATGTGCCAACAAATTCATCATTTTAAGATGAACATCTGGGTAAGGTAATTTGGCAAACCATTTGTTGTAATCTTCTGCATGTTTGGATAAGGGCTTTTTATCCCTAACCTGTTCTGAAACTTTGATCTGGATATCTCTTTCTGTTGTGACACTGAATTTGATGGATATGATTTGCTCGTTGTTGTGGCTCTCTGTTGGAAGATTATTTAATGTTGTCAAAGCTGGTCTTTTTAAGTAGACAGCAAAGATTTGCTTGTGTTGTTGTGGCTCTCAGTTGGAAGATTATTTAATGCTGTCAAAGCTGGTTTTTTAAGTAGACAGCAAAGATTTGCTCGTTGTTGTCACTCTCAGTTGGAAGATTATTTAATGCTGTCAAAGCTGGTCTTTTTAAGTAGACAGCAAAGATTTGCTCGTTGTTGTGGCTCTCAGTTGGAAGATTATTTAATGCTGTCAAAGCTGGTCTTTTTAAGTAGACAGCAAAGATTTGCTTGTTGTTGTTGTGGCTCTCAGTTGGAAGATTATTTAATTTTGTCAAAGCTGGTCTTTTTAAGTAGACAGCAAAGCAAATAGCTTGTTTCCTATTCCACCCTTTCACTCTAGAAACGATTTCGAACTGAGCTTGGTTTCTCTCCCATGGTACCTTCCCATCATAGCCTGTTTCTTTTTTTATTGATCAATGTTTAATTGACCAGCTAAATTAAAAACATTTATTTGGTAGCACCATAGTTTGGAATATTCCTTCAGTAACTAGTGGCACAGCAGTAGTGGGAATAGGTGAAGACCAAATAAATATCATTTCATATCAGATAGCAGATGGAATTTTTGGTCATAGCTCTTGAACCAATGCAGAAAAAAACAAACAAAAACGTGTGGATGGTTTAATCTTTCCATTGAATAATTCGTTTTCCAGATTTTTTATTCTGTAACTAATGTTCTTTTGCACCTCAGTGATGCTGTTTTATACCTCATTGATATCTTCCCTTACTTTACTTTTGACTATGTCAGTGTCCTTCTGCATTTCTGAAATCTGGTTGCTGCAATCTGTACACCCCCTATAGCCTCATTGATTTAGTCTCCAATCAAATTTATTTTTATTTTTTAAGTACGATGTCTATATTTTAGCTCCTCTTTTAAATTTCTGTCACGTTCTCTTTGATCATCTTCCAATTTCCTGTAAATTTCTTCTTAGGCTTCTTCAGTTTTTCTTTTATTCTTTTGTCCCATTCTTCCTGCTCTTCTATTAATTTTTGTTTCATACTTCTAGTTCTTCTTTAAATGCTGAATTGGGTTGGTGGTTAGGGTACTCAACTCGCAATCTGCAGATTGTGAGTTCACCAAATATACTCACCCATTCATTATCTTGGGGGTGTAATAACTGTCAATCCCACTGTTTGTTGGTAAAGAGTAGCCCAAGACTAGGTGGTGAGTAGTGTTGACTAGCTGTCTTCCCTCTAGACTATCACTTCTGAATTAGGGACAGCTAGCACATATACCATTTTAGTAACTTTGCATGAAGCTCAAAACAAACCAAACTAAGTATTGAAGCAAATAATATCTGATGTAACTTCCACTTTGATGTTGCCTTGTTCTATTTGTTTCGTTTTGTATAGCAGATAAAAGATATAACAGTAACATATAGCATCTGTGCTCAAAGGATTGTTATCTATAATATATTTAGCTGGCTGAATTTAAAATGTCTGTGTGTTACAAATGACCAATTCTGTGAGAAAACAAGGGTGATTAGGTGTCGATTGCACAAGAAAGCTGATTTTACCAATAGAAGTGATGCATGTTTTCTTAGTTCAGTTCTAACTGGAGATTAACATGTTTACCTTCTGCAAACTTAATCATGATTCAGTAGAATCAACTGGTTTTGTGTGTGTGAGCAAGTCTGTACAGTGTATTTTCTTTTGTATGTTTTGTAAAAAGTTTGTGTTCATTTTGTTAAAGTTGCCTATTTTCATTATTTCTATCACCCAAGTTATAAAATGCAGACTACTCCACAAGTTTGCTAGTTGAATCTGCTCTTATTAGCGAATCTAACTATCTGACACTTGTAGGGAAATCAGATCACTTGAAAATATCATAAGTAGGTAAGGAAGAAGAAATTTTGAAGCTATGACAATGGGATTTATTGTGGAGTTTATGTCTTGATAATGTGTATACTAGCCCTCTTGAGTTTTATCCAGTTTACAGGAATCAATTTACGATCAGAATGGCTTACTCT